CCTGTAATTTGCTCTCTTGCTTTTAATTTTTTCTTATTCTGGTTTCTGTTTATTGTGTTTCTACAAGACAAGATTCAATAGTACTAAATACAACCTCCGAACCTTTCTTTTTCAGCTCCTCCCGTCTCGGCCTGTCTTAGTTTCGGACATTTTTCGAACGAATCTAGCCTCGAGAGATATATAGAGTAAATAACAAAAGCTACATCCTGCCTACAATGGATACAATGCGGAATACGAGGTCTGCTCTGCGTGGATGTAGTGTGTAGCCGAGCCGGGCCGGGCCGGGGCGGGCGCAGCACTGGTTTTATGTGCACGCACGGACTTGGAGATGTCCTGGATAGAGGGTATGGAATAGCAAGAGCCAGATTATTCGTGCCCGGCATCGTGTAATCTATTTAATCCCTGCCTATTAAGAAAATAAAACACACCAACAAAGCAAGGGTAAAATCAAACCCGCCAGTTCTGAAACAAGTCTACGCCGCCTATTTATATAAATCAGAGTCTTTAATCAGCGCGGTTTTTGTGTTTGTCGTGTACGTTTGGCTATTCTGGCAGGTTTAGAGTTCTTTATATATGGATGTCTAATGATGATTGATATACGAGATTACTGACGGGGGAAGGAAATCTAGCATTACTCAGCACCCTGGAGCTGATAGTTCTGGGTAAGAAGCCGGGGTCAAACAGAATCAATCTAGAAGACGCAAAGAAGACGCCAGCCAAAGCACCTTCGCGACCTAGCCAAGCCCTTCGCAACAGCACCCTTGTCGAAACAGGGCCGGGAATGACTCCTCGCAAATAGTACTTTCGGCGAGAGACAAGAAAATAGAGTAACCGGCAGCGAGGAAGGGCCCCGTTAATGAGTTTTTGATTCAGGTGCTGGTGCGGCTCGGTTTGCTGGACGCGCTACGCTCTCCCACTTACTTGCCTGCTCTACTCGGCTGGTAACAACGCTTTCCCTGCTTAGCGAATGCACAGGCGGTGAGTAGCAAATAGTAAACTCTGAAATTATGTTGCTGCTGTTGTTTTTAGACTGGACGGACCGAGATAGTCGCCAGTGAGTGGGTCCTCATAATCTATTTCAAAAAGAACCCTTCGACATTGATCCCTTCACGAGATAGAGATCCCTTCCTAAGATCGACAACCACACAACTTCCTATATCAGCACCCCTTCCCGTGCACACTCGCTTGGCCATGCCCATTACTTTTCGTTCTCTTCGCCGAACGCCGAACGAGCAGGTGACATGCAAGAACACGCGGACGTTAGAACTTCAATCAGCAAGCAAGCAACAAAGACCAAGTTCGCCACCTGCATTCCTCGAAATCGCAAGGATCAGCAGGGACACGAATTGAATTACTTTTACAGCCCTACGCGACACTTACAGTTACCACCAACGCCTCTTTCCCCCCCCCCCCCCCCCCCCCCCCTTCGTCCGGCTCTAGGAGCGAAATAAAAACTCTACGCCGCCGGCCTCGTTGCGCGCGCGCTGAACTTCACGTCGCTGCTAAGAGACCTTGGTTCCTCGTGGAGGACCTTGGCGGTGGAGGGACACGCGAGGTCGGGGATGCTTAGCACGTCGGCGTGTCGTCCGCTGGCCCGCCGGAGTGTGTTTGTATATATACCCAGCGCGAGACGCGTGGTGTGTGTGGGGCACCACCGCTCGTCTTTAGCGATCTCACGTGGCGGATATAAATAGGGATCTCGATTCTTTGCTGAGGTTTACTCTCTCGATCAGATCGTCTTTGAAGCATTGTATCGCCACTAGACTATGCGCTGCATGAATTGTCAAGTCGAGTAGAGCAGAAAGTGGATACACCCCTTCTCTGCCCTTGCGGAACATCCGGTGTAGCGTGGCACGCCGATCCTCAGCAACCTGTAGATGTAGATTATCCACCTACGCGCGGATAGCTGATCTCCAGCTGTTTACATTCATATAGCATCTCTTTCGGTCTGATTCGACACGCAGGGTCCAGCTCGTCGTCAGTAATTATCAACAAAGAAAATAATCAGACTGCATATCAGATAGGAATGAGATCATGAATGCTTTTCTAACGAAGGGCGATCGATAACCCAGCGGATCGGATTCGCGTTTAGCTTGTCTTGCGTAGTTGTTTACTTTTGCTATCGCTGAAGAGTCTGCGAGATATGACTGTAAACCCTGTATCTCTTCTGCGTCTGTGTCCAGTTTCTGCAACGCTTGATGCAAGATTGATAGGCATCTCAGATATAACTGATCGTCAACACCACACTTCTCCTCGGCGCGGGCGCGCGCGCGCCCCACAGAGCGGCTGGCCCACTAATCCACGAGTCAAGTCTAGTCCGCGCTCGCCTCGACATACGAAATTAACAACGATAAAAGCGACTACGCGGAGCGAGGACCTGGAATTAGGGAACTAGGCGGTTTTTTTGCCTCGTGAGCGTAGGGTGAGCTAAACTGAAAATGGGTGGAAGGTTGTTTGGAGCGGACCTCGGCGATCAGAGATGGGAAACGTGGACGGCGGCACTTTTTACGGGTTAGTTCTGGGGTGGTTGTCTGGTTGAGCTAGATTGGAAGCGGGCGGCGGGGTGTAGAAGAGTTGAGAACGAGCAAATATTGATATACCACACTCACTGATCATCTAAATCATCGGTCAATGTCAAAAGAGAGAGAGCAGGAAGCAGAAGAGTAGATATGAAGAGTAAGAAGTCAACGATACCGTTTCTCAAGCGTTGAGAATGCGTTTACTCATATCCGAAACAAAAGATCGCCCCACTCCCTCTCAGCCTTTGTGCTTTCTCTGGCTTTTCGAGCTATCGCGCTGTCCGTCTTGACTATCCGGATCCAGGGCTGTAGATTCGGAGGGACGGTGTGGAGCCGGGCGGATACGCGTGCAGATAGCGGAGAAAGAAGGGTTTAGTCAAGCGTTGGCCACGACGCGCGCGAAGATAGTCGGTCTGGACCATGACAGCCATGCAAAGAAGATGCAGGATGGTATTCCAAGCTTCGTAGACAATGGTCAAACGAGAAAATGAAACATATTTCTCAAAAAACAGAAACAAAAACAAAAAACACGGGGAAAAGAGAGCGCGAATTGGATCTTAACTCTAATAGCAACTCGTCGGAAATGGTAACCGTGCTCCTGATGTCTCTTGCTCTCGCCCACCTTCGCTCGTCCGTTCATTACATTTCATATCTCACTTTACCGAGTTTGCGCGCTTGTTACTTTCCCGCTCATCCTTATTTACGAGGCCTGGGTCCACTTCGCGTCATCATCGACACATGAAGCCTTCGAGCAAGGAGCGAAGGGGGAAAACAGGCCAGCGAAGGAGGCTTGTCTAGTCCCGCAAGATCCAAATCATCGGCTCCGTGTCTTAACGTACTTCTTCCTACTTCCTATTCGCTCTCTACCGTCTTGTCATATTTGGACCTGTTTTATCTCCCTCATATCTCTCTCTCTGTTTACCACCGGCAAACTCAAAACTAGCCTGCAAAAAACCAGTTGAATCGTCGCGAGCCGTTGGCGGTGCCGGTGCAGTCAGTGTCTATAGTAAACGTTGGGCAAAACGGGTTACCTCTCCCACCCTCCTCCGCCCACGAAAACTCACCGGGAACACGAGGCCACCCACAACCTCAGCTATAGACAGCGAGCGCGAGAGCAAAAGTGGAGAACCAAGCAAGCAAGCAAAAGACTCGGCGGATCGACAGCGGGTCTTGCCGGTTTGTCCGGCGTGGACGGCGTCTCGGTCTCTTACTCATCTTTACTCATATTTTTATGTTTATTTTTATTTGATTTTGGGAGGATGCTCCTTCTTGCTTTGCTTCTTTATCTTTTGCTTCTTTATCTTTTGCCGCGTCTTTCCGAATCCAGCGCGCGACGTTTTCCAGCGGTCGGTGTACTTCCTCAAGAGCATTCGATCGTCTCTTGAGATATGTACCCAGACAACAATATCTAACTGGCTCTCATCTGCTTTTACCTGTAATCGTCCAAAGCGGGCTAGAGACAGACAGCTCTCACTTCGAGCCATCGCCATGCGCATCCCCCCGCCCAAATAATAAACACAACACCGCCTTGATCCCCGGTGGCGACCACGCGACACCTCCTCCTCCCCAAACAACGACCGACCCTCCACCGCCCTCAGCTCCACCCACAAAGTCGAAAGTTCACAACAAGAGAGGAGAAAAAAAAATAAGCCAGGCACCGATCGCCGTTTCGGGAAACTGTCCTTCCCAAAATGGTACCCTCCCCTCCCGAATAGGAATACGCACACAAAACCCACGCGGCGCGCGCGTTGGGAGAAACGGAGATCGCTCGCTGCTCTCGCCTTGCTCTGCTTCGTCCCATCATCCCTCTCCACTGCTCCTGCCATGCCACGCGACAACTTACACACACACACATGATCTTCGTATGACGTCTACAGGGCTACCAGGTCTCTCGAATAGACTTTGCATACGGCATCAATGCGAAGGTGATTTACTTTTCTTTTTTTCTTTTTACTCTTTGCTCGTTGTTTTTTTGGCAGCCAGGGCGAGAGAGAGATGAGCAAAGGGAGGTAAACATATTTGTGGTGGATGATGCAAGCCAGCGGCGCGACGTCACACATCCCTCTCCTTCGCCATGTACGTAGCCTGGCACAGCTGCAGAGTGTTCCAAAGCACCGAGTAGTAAACAACACCCGCCAAAAATGTGAGGGATCAAAAGCCGCCTTGTCAAGACGGGGTGTCGTCAGGGGAAGCGGACATGAGGAATTGTGATAGAGAAAATGTCTATTATTGCACAAAAGCAGGAAAACCGTACACAAAAACTGGGTAGTCCACAAGGCAAATTCTATAAAGCTAAAAATATCAAAAAGAGTGACTGGCCACAGACGGCGGCAGATATATCAAAAGGAGACGAAAAAGGAATAGAGGAAAAAAGAGACACAGCCGGAAATGAACTCCATATGTAACAATAAAACTCCCAAAGTAAAATCACAAAAAAAGACACTTGAGTAAGCTAAACCTGAAAAAAAGTCCTACTGTCGATATTACTATACAAAAGACATCGCGCAGTGTGAAGAGAAAAAAATATTTAACAACAATTGGAATCAGAGGCACAGCATTTAAAGTCCGCGGTAGATATCATCCACGCCAAAGTACTCGACCGCACCGAGGTTGTGCGGGTACAGCGCCGAGTCGACGATTCCGAGCATAGACATGTCCTGGCCATTGTAGCAGCTGCAGCCGTTTGACGAGCACGACTGGTCGTGGATCAGACCGGCCTGGAGCTCGAGCGTAGGAAACGAGCCCGAGACAGGGGTGAGCAGCTCCGGCGACGACTGGGGCGAGTACGAGGTCGAGTTGACCGACGTCGAGTAGGCAGTGTACTGAAGAGAAAGATCGGACACGTCCTGTGTGAAGCTGCCGCCGGGGGTGTCGTGGATGCTGTAGAACTGCTCGTCAAGCAGGGTGGTTGACGGCTGCGAGTTGGACGGCAGGTCGATGTGGAACACGGGCTGCAGCTGGTAGTTGTCCTCCTCGTCCTCGTCGTCGAGCTTGGACTCTTCGTATGAGAGCTCGGCAGACGAGCGCTGCTGGTCAAACATCGCAGACACTTGCGAGCTACTGCTCGGCCGGCTGCTACTGCTGCTGTTACTACTGCTGTTTGCGACGGCGGTGGTGTAAGCGCGAGCCCGCGCCCGGGTGTGCATTGTCCGGTCATCAGCAGCAGAGGAAGGAAGAGCAGGCATAGGCGAAGGAGAAGGAGAAAAGAAGCAGGCGGCATTGTTCATCTTGAAGTGGTGAATCCACGCCGCGTCAGGCTCGAATGAGGCCGCGTCCGACGCAAGCTGGCCGAGATTGCCCGCCGACGCAAACGCCGCAGAGATCCGCAGCGCCTGGTTAGCAAGCTCCTCGTCCTTGGGCACGCCCGCGTAGAGCGAGGCGTGGTTGCGCACCCAGTCGGCGAGCGCGTACTCGATGTGGCGGAAGCGGCGGGCGTCGGCGGACGCGCCGCTGCTGTTGCTGCTGCTGCTGCCGACCAGGTTCATGGCGCCGTAGTAGGCGGCCGTGGGCGGAGTCACGCGCGGCTGCTGCGAGACCTGGTCGATGACCGAGACCGCGGACGAGGGCGCGGCCGAGGGTAGACGGGCGGAGCGGGAGCGGTCGCTGGCGGAGAGGTAGCGCGAGGAGTCGACGGACATGGACTTGTTCATTGCCTTGCAGATCTTGGAGACGGTCGAGCGCTCGACGCCAAAGACCTTGCCGATTTTCTTCTGCGAGTCGTTTGGGTGGTCGCGCGAGTGCTTCCAGATCATGTGTTTCTCTGCGTGGGTGAGGGTGCGTCGCCGCGGGGGCCGCTGGGCGGACGAGGCCGTGCTCTGGGAGGACGAGGTGGAGGAGACGGTCGCGGCCGAGGACGAGGACGAGGCGGTCGAGGGCAGCGGGCGCGCGCAGGGCGAGAAGGGCGCCTCGTCCATGGCGGAGTGCCGCCGTGGGGTGGACTGGTGGGTGGGGGAGGAGTAGATGAGGGTTGTGGGGGAGGAGGGCGGGAGCTGCTGCAGAGGCTCGTCGTGGAGGGCGAAGAAGGAGGTGGGAGCGCTGGAGGCGAAGGACGAGGTCGACGAGGCTGATTCGGCGGAAGCAGAGCGGGCGAGCGGGAAGGCGTCTGCGAACGCCAGCGGCGACACCAGGAAGGACGCGTCAGCCATTGCGGTAAAAGGAGAGAACGGGCGGGTGGAGGCTCTGGACAAGGCGGGAGGCGGACGAGCAGAGGTGGTTGCGAGCTCGACTTGATCTGGATGCTGGATGCTTGTGGGGATCGAGGGAGGCCGAGCCTTAAGTGCGATGCGATGACGGAGACCTGAACCCTAATCCACTTCGAGTCCGTTTTCCTGGCCGCGCAGTAATGGAGATCCTGCGCCGCCCGCTCGATCCAGGTACTGCAGATACCCTCTCAGCCGCGGGTACCACATGTACCCGGTACCCTTCCACGCCTGCAGTGTCGTCTGCGCGCGACTCTGCCCGCTCCTGCGTGTCGCCTGCTGATGTCGACCTGCCTGTGTCGCGCCAGCATGTCGCACCCCTTCCGGCGCCTCCAGCTCTTAGTTCTCCGCTCGCCTTGGTCTCCGGCAGCCTGCGCAGGCTAATGCTCCTGATCCCATCCCCCACTGCGTCTGTCGACGAGGCCGGCTGCAGTAGAGCAATCCGGGAACTGCACAATACGTTACATTTTTCTTGGGTTTGCATTTGTAGCAGCAGCAGCAGCAGCGGCAGCAGCGTAAATACAGAGTGCGCCGCTATCCGGCCAACCTCTGTCAGAGTGCACTCTCACTTGTCAGACTGCTCGTCCATCTTCCCACTCCTCCTCTCATAGAACCTGATCCGTCATATCTCGGGTCCCTCGTAGATCCTGCGTGTCCGCGCAAGTCTCTTCTTCCCGCTGCCTCCGCTCCGGGCACCCTCCGCACCTTCTTCCCATCGCCCGTCAGCACGTGTATCCGCCCGCACAGGCTGACTGTCAAGAGAATCCAAAAGACCGCACCGTCGCCCAAAAAAAAGTTCAAGAAGCCACGGCGGGCGCCTTCTCTCTCACGCACGTGCACCCGCAGCGCCAAACTTCAGACGGACCGAAAGCGAAGCTGAGTCAGCGCTTTCTTTTCTGGGAGAACTCTGTCTACACATTGTCTAAATCGCTCTTGCTGTTGTTATCTAATGTGCGCAGGCCGCTTGCTATCGTTGGTAGGCTTGCGCTGGTGGCCTTGTCTGGTTATGATCAGCAAGGTCGATATCTATATCTCATACTTATCCGCGCGCTCCATTGCTCTCGGTCCTTCCCGTCTTCCCTTTTGTTCCTCTGAGTAAGAACAAGACACCTATCCAGAAACTATGCTATGTTTCGCGGTCGAGAGCTGACAGAATTTCTGATATATCATCTACAGTTACGTGGGGCTAGCTGGATGGAGTGCGAGCTTAGTGTTATCTAATCTCTGTCATACATCGACTGCCATCTCTATCCCCCTTGCTAGAGCTCTGTACAGTCAATTGAAGAAAGCAGTCTATAATTTGCACTCTCCAACAAGACCCCACCTCTCTACTCTCTGCTTGCCCTCAGCAGCCCTCCTCTCTTCTTATCGTGAGTTAGACCAGGCCCTCAGCAGTAATAGTAGGGTAGATAGATACTATGGCTCCGAAAAATGCCGAAATGCGGCGCACTAAACAGCTTAGCGCATGGCTTGTGCGCTTGCTTCCCATATGCACAGAAATGGCAGAACGAAACTTGTCTTTTCTCTAGAACGAATCCAGCTTAGCTGGGTTTAGAGGTCGCCCTCTAAACGAAGACGGGTGGTGGCTGTGTGCCGCTAGAGGGTGGGGGAGTATGCTGGAGCCTCGGATGCGACTGAAGAAGAGGATTAAGGAACGGGAGAAAAAAGAGAGAAACTGACTGAACAGACAAAAGCAATTAATAAAAACCACGAAAAGAAGAGCGATTGCGAGGGAAAGAAGAGATTTGAATTCAACGCCAGCTCGATGTGCTTGGAGCTATCTGCACGCAGGTCTCTCGCCCATCTTCCTTGTCTTTGCCTCTTGCACGTGTGGCGATTTGTTTCACCGCGCTGCGTATTATCGCCAGCCGTATGTTCTAGCCCTGATTCAGTTCCTGCATTGTCGCCGCAAATCAGAATCGACGAAAAGAACACAGGTTTGCTTCGAATAGAGCAAAGAGCGAGCAAGCAAGCAAGCAGCCTGCTCAGATTCCCGCTTTCACATGCAAATCAGCGACCTTTGAGTTATTCCCTCTTGGGCATAGACAGAAAGTCTACAAACCCACAGGGCAACGACTACTGCTGCTAGACCAAAACTAAAACCAAGACCAAACTACTAACGACAAGAGCCCTCTGCCTCTAGTCGGACAGACAACTAGCACGCTTATTACGCAATCAATGTGGATCTATCGACGCCTGGCCGGTCTGGATGGGGGTGGTGGTCCCGTGACTCGGCAGCCGGTTAAACCCGGTTAGTGACCTTTAGCGTAGTTGACTTTTATCGTCAGCTATCATATATCGTAAAGTAAAAAGCAGAGAGACGGCAAAACAAAGACACAGAGAGAATACAGAGCGCCTCAATTCAGTCATGCAATATCAAATATATAATGCTCAGAGATTTGTTTTCATAGATTGATGAAAAGAGTCATCGATCGTTCTCAAAGCAGCGGCGCTCAGCAGCTAAAAAACCTGAAAGAGACTACTGGCAGCTGATGAACGAGCCTGTCGGCTCCATACTCCGGACGCATGGCTGCTGAGTTCCCAGCCGCTACCGTTTCGAGTAGGCGCGTTTTTTTGTATTTTGTATACCACTACAGCAAATTAGAAAGTCTTTAATAGCTGCCAAAACTCTTTAAATTGAATGCCAACACAAAAGTAATGATAAAAACAGGCAAAGCAGACAAACTCTCGGATAATAACGGCCTCGGAAGTCGGAACTGATGCTCAGGGCGGATTTAATTGGAATGGCTCGCATAGAGGAACGAGAGGGGCAGAGCCACGAATTGGTCGGCGAGGTGGTCAGCCGCTGGGCGTTGAGCGGCGCGCGAAGGGAATGAGAGTGAGGGATACGAGGCAGATACCGGTGGATACGGCGGGCGCAGAGCGGGGCTTACTAAGAGTGGAATCCAGCCAGAACACGAGAAGCACGAAGATCTGTCAAGGAAGAGCAGATGACAGCAGGAGAGAGCAGGAAAGAAGGCTACTCCGCGGCCGCTAGATGCACGGCTCCAGGACTAGGAGAAGGAGGGCCAGCGGACGACAGCTCGAGCAGACGGCGACAGAGCAGGTGAAACAAAACCTTAAGCGGCAGTGTTCTGGAATACGAACGGATGCCGCGTAGAACAACTTAGTGCAAACTCTAACCTCCCAGAACAAACGCTCGTTCGCTAGCTTGCGCGTCGACTCTCCTCTGGGCTACCGGCTTCTTTGGACCTGCCGACGAGCGCACGACCCCATTCCGCTCGGAACCAGAACCGAGAGACTGCCCGACGACAACGGCCACGCGGGACGGGCGATTATTGGTCAGGTGCGGAGGCTGGCGACACGGCAGATAGGACGGGCGGGAGGCAGGTAAGACCTGCAGTTGCGCGCAGTGCATGGATCTGGATCGGTTTGTTCAGTTTATGCACGCGGACGCATGCTCAGAGTGGCGATAGAAGGCCGGCCGAAGCAGAGTGCGCATGAGCGTAAACGAAGGCATCGCCGGAGTCGTTTCTGACGTCGCTCATCCGGCGGGCGATGCTAAATAGCAGCAGGAGCGTGTTTACTAGCGGCGAGGGTGCCCAGCAGGCCGGGACAGAGAGAAGAGAGAGAGAGGGAGAGAGAGAAAGAGAGTTGATATTGGTGGATCGCTGGTAATTAATTGGGCCCAACCCCCTCCTCCCATAACCTTATTCTGCCCGCTCCTCTGTTTAGGCTACTCGTTTTTAAACTTTGCTCCTCGATCTGGGGAGGACCCGCCCAAATCGGGATTAGCCGCTGAAGTGGCGTTTGGCCCAGCCCGATCCCCTCGTCCTTTCCGGCCATCGCGCTCCTCCCAGGGCTGCTGCTCTGCTGCTGATACTGATACTGATACTCGCTGGCCCGGTTGGCAGGGTCAAGTGACTATGTTTTCCGGCCTCTATCAGCTCCTGCGGTTTGACAAGACAAAAGACCCCGCCGCGACTTGAACTCCCTCGGTCTCTTGCCCGTACCTCATGTCAGTTTCCGACCTTCTCGCTGTCGTCTCTCTACGCGGCCCTGCTACAACCCGCTCATCGTCCACAATCCATTCGTCCAATTCATTCGTCTCAATCAATCTCGGGTTTTCTTGCTCCCGCCCGTTCGGCACTTCAAGTGCGCCTCGACGAATAAGCCCGGGATGAGCGCAGCCAGCAAGCTTCCTTCAGACGGCGTTCGCAGCTCTTTTGATAGAGCTCAGATCCGCTCGCTCTGCCCAGTGCTCTGGCTCATTAAACGTATTTCTCGTTTCTTTTTCTAGTCTTGTGTTTTTGTTATGTTTCTCCCAAACTCTTAGCTCGCCCTCTTCCTCTGCCTCCACCGCTGCTCTCCGACACCCGATTCGTCGGAGTCTGGTAGATTCAATCTTAATCCGTCTGCCCGCAAGGTTTCATTCCCTCCAGCTATAGCATACCTCGTGAGCAACTTCAGGAATACCAGCCCGCCTCCGTTCTCTGTGTATCTATCCTCTTTTCGACCCTGACATTGCGCCGCCGCCACTAACAACCACGATGAAATACACTAATACCAGAACTTGCGACTGCGGCCGTGTTTTTTATCATTCGCAGCTCCATCCCGCCTCGTTAGCGCCTGCTCATATATCGTCTCCGGCGTTTTTCTAAAATAGTGTAGTTTTTTTCCTTTTCTTTTGCGGAAGATGCTGGCATAAGAGGGCTGCATCCGCGTCTTCAGAGGTAAACAAACAGACGTGCACCTCGCATGACGGTAGCTGAGTAACTCCGAAACCTCGACGCAATGCACCGGCGACAAAACCTAGATACCATTACATCATCTTCCGTCCTCTTTTACAGACATATATCAGTTTATTATATTACCCACCACAATACAGAAAACTAGCATAACCGGACTAGACACATTAGATTAGCCAAAGTATGGAATAGGCAACAAGAGCTGGCCACGCGGCGCATCAGATCTAGTTAGATCCGCCAAAGACTGACTTTGCCTAAAATCTCTAGACCAAAATCTTGCGCGCGCCTGCCCGCAGCTCCTACTGCACGCCCCAAATCTGAACTGTCATTTTTCT